ATTAGCACTAGCTTATTGAATATAAAAAACTTTAATTATCGACCTCGGAGTTCGGATGCCAACAACCCCCATCGGCTCCATCTCACTTCGAAACCCTAGATTTCTTTCTATATTCTCTACATTCTCTTCTCTATCTAGCAATTTCAAACCTAAAATTTGCATCCCTTTTCTCCGTGTCTCTCCCATCTTCCTCATTCATTTCTCCATTCTCTATGTCAGCAGTATAGTCGCGTGCCATCGTCGTGAAGCGACCAATACCCACCATTGCCGTCGTTGCCACCACCGCCTCTATTCCCTCACTTTTTCTCCCACTCTCCTTCCCTCTCTTCTCCCTCCTCCATTCATGACTATAGTGCGCCGCACCACTGTGCGCGGGTCGAAGCGGCACTCACAAGCTACACCGTCAGGACACTATGCTGTAACTGACATGATATTTTGTGGTGGTTCCTTCGATTTGCTGCTTTACCAAAGTTTTGGTTTTTTTTTGTTGGTGATTATTGCGGGTTTGGAGATTTTGTTGGTGGGGTGGCGGCTGTGGTGGGTAGTGTTGTATGAGATGGTGGATTCTTGCAGGCGGTGGTAGTGGAAATATGGTGGTTGATTGGAGTTGTTGATGAATGTGGAGGTGGTCGATGGTTGTTGAAGAAGTTGATTGTGGGTGTAGGATGTAGTAGCAAGGTATTTGGTGGTGGTGCTGCGACGGTGGCTGTGACAGTGGTGGTTAGTGGTTGTGGGTGGGTGGCGTGGTGTGGAAGTGTTTGTGACTAATTATTTGAGATTGTTCCCGACGACAGATGAGGGGATTTTTTAGGTGGGGTTGTAGTTGTGGAGTGGTAGGTTGGTGGTGGTGTTGGTTGCAGTGTTTGAGATGATGGTTTTGTTGTCCGATATGGTGGTGGTGGTTTGGCGGCAGTGGTGAGGTGGTAGTCACAAGTATTGGTGGTGATCACAAATGATTTGATTGTTTGCGACCAATGAAATTGATAAATCGTGTCAATAAATAATGTGCGACTCAAAAATTTGTTAATTTATGACCTAAACATTATTTCTGGCCAATTAATTTGATGTTTGTGATCATGAATTAAGTTGTGATTTAAAATTATTCACTACGGATTAAAGTAAAAACGTTTATATGTATTTTTAATTGAACTTAAAATAAATTTTGCATCAAGGGAAGGGGCACGTGAGGAGCGTGCCATCCACGTGACTTCCCTACACGTGCAACCACGTTCGAAGTATAGGCTTACGTGTGGGAAGCATAAAAAATGACCAATTTCCAGCTATTTCGAATTTTGACCACAGTTGTGTATGAAAAATTAATTATTTTTTTTTTTACAAAAGTCTCTCACATGATGGTCCCAAAATACTTCCTCAAGTGCTTAGTTGGACCCCACGAACATAAATGAAAATAAATTATTTATTAATTTTGTGAAAAGATCTAAAACCTCTGTTCTTTTCACAATATTGCTTTCAAAGCATATAGGTAAAAAGAAGTTAAAAATCTTGCTTATTGAGATTTGTAAAACTTACTCAATCGAGCGAGTATATATTCCATTTCATTTGATTCGACGTGTTTAATATATTCTCAAAGTTAAGTTATATTACAAATTTATAACAGAATTTAATGTTACAATAATGAATGTATATTCTATTTCATTTGATTCAACGTGTTTAATATATTCTCGAAGTTAAGTTATGTTACAAATTTATAAAAGAATTTAATGTTGAAAATTGTTGTGTGGTATGAAAATCATGTTTCTCTAACATGGGATTAATATGAATTCTTTTTTCTCTTCCATGCTTTCTTATTATGAAATTTACCATTAGTAGCTATTATCATGTGGATTAAAATCTTTTGAGCAAATCGACAAAACAAAACATGTGGTGTATATTGATCACATGATAGGTTATGGTACTAAATTATGTCACCTTTTGTTTGATTTCTTGTTTTTCCATCCAATTTAGGTACAATGCTACAAGTATGGTACATAAGAATTCCAAAGAAGATTTGTTTAGTTGAATTGATCAAAATCCAATACACCCCTAAACGCGATATCCGAATTTAATTGAAAGGGGAGCATCCACTATAGTGTGATCGATGATGTGAAGTGAAGAAGCGAAACACGTTCCACTATTGCAGAACTAAAAACGAAAAATTTTCTACAATTCTGACAAGTTAATTCAATTAAGGACATTAGTTATCACTACGTAGAATCAACACGAAAAAATTATTAGGTGAAAATCAAATTCTTTAATCCCAATTGGCAATGAAAGTAATTTCAAACAAGTACAAGTACCACGTGGCACTCATCATGACCGTTGTTAGTTTAAGCCAAGCTGTAGCCGTCGTGCTTCAACGTGGGTTAAGGAATATAATAACATGGCAGTATAAGGTAAAACTTGAAAGGGTGCTGCTAATAATGGAATTTAAAATTAATGGGGAGGCAAATATAAATAAATTAAATTACGGGGACAAAAGCGCAAGTCCCTAGGGCAAAATAATTAGAGAGAGAAAAAAAGCAGAGGAATCTGGCTGTAAACTTGGACACTAATGGAGGATTCACGGCGACAAAATCTGTTAGATCGATTTTTTAAGGCAAAAAGAGTTGATCTTAGGTAATTAATCACTACTTATCTCTTTTTATTATTTCAACTTTTTTACTTATCGCCATGTTTGGTAGATAAAAATAAATTTTAATAAAAATTGATAATACATGTGATTTAAAATAGGGCTGAACAACGAAATCGTCAAACTGTAAAAACGAATCGAACTCGATTTTTTGAAATAGTTGGTTTGGTTCCATGTGATCTGTCAACGTTTTGGTTTTGAATCTAACCACACTGGTTTAAGTTTCAATCTTTGAACCGTATCAAACCGCCAAATTGTTTTAAAAAAATCTGAACAAAAATTACTAAATTTTATTTAATCCAATTTAAACTAAACACATTCTAGTTAAAAAAAGATACATCCATATTAAACATAATTCAACTAAACTCAATTAAACAAGTAAACATATCAATTAATTAATTAAATTATATCAAAATACCTATCAATCATCACAATCGTGAATGTAAAACCTTCAAATTGGGTAAAGTATTGAATAATCGCTGTTAAATCATATTCATTGATCCTCCCTTACAATTGAGTAGATAATTAAATTTAGACACATTTCATTTCCTTCTACTAATAATTTTCTCGAATTTTGCCTAAGTTTTTTAAGTCAGATTATCCAATTTATTATTATTATTTTTAATATTTTGGTAAATGTTTTCCATGTTTTTATTGGTGATTATTTTGTTTTGTTCTAATTATTATCGGGCTCCCTTGAATTTTTAGGTGACACTGATTTTGTTTATTTGCCTCAATTTTCTGGTCAAGCCATAGAATTAGTTATTTACATTTTAACTTAGTTTCTAAATTTAACTTTTAATTTCTTTAATGATTTGGTGGATTACTTAAGAGTGAATTGTCCAAATAGTCACTGAACTTTACGCCATGCTTCCAAGGAGTCACTGAACTTTAAAAATCACCAAAATTATCACCGAACTTTGTAAAAGGTTTTCACGAGATCACTGAACTCTAACAATCACCTCATTCATTACTAAACTTTGCAAAATGTTTCCTAGGAGATCATTGAATTAGTGACATTTGGGGAACTTTTTACAAAGTTCAGTGATGAATGAGATGATTTTTAAAGTTCAGTGACCTCGTGAAAATCTTCTGCAAAATTCAGTGATAACTTGGGTGATTTTGAAAGTTCAGTGACATCTCGGAAGTTCAGTGACTATTTGGGCAATTCACTCGATTGCTTAAAATGATAGTTATGAAGATTTCGCCAATGCCCTGTTAAACGTATTACGTTGGTGGAAACTTAAACCTAATTTTTCTTTTTTAAATTGAACCAATCCCAAAAAAATGGTTTGAATTGGATTGGTTTACAAATCGAAGTGGTTTTGTTTGGAAAATTTTCAAACTGCTTTAAGTGGTTTGTTTTAAAAATTTGTCTCAAACCGAACCGTTTTTATCCTTAGTTGAAAATTTGTGAATTCCATTAAATATATTGTTAAAATTAATTATTAATTTCAGCTTAAATTTAATAAACTTTTTAACTCAACCAAATAGAGACTATAACTATTTTCCTTATATGCTCCTTTACAATGTGAGCTAATTAATCGCAGTTATCAGACTATTTTCAAAAAGTTAAAAGATTTTTTCTTTTAACAAACTATTTTTAGTTTATTTAAATATTTTTTTATACGATCAAAAGAGCTATTGCAATAAATTACTTAGTGCTTAATTTGAGTTATAATTTTTTTTATGGTAAATTATTAATTTTATTTAATATGAGAATCCCAATGTTGAGGTTGTATTTGCAATCCAAATAAAGAAAGAAACCAATCATAAAAAGAAGGGTCATTGACATGAAGAACAAAGTAAGTAAGTGACTTTTCTTGTGAATCAATTTGCTTTTATCACACCATCCAACTCAAAAAGAAATAAAAAGACGAATATAGTCATATTACTCTTTTATTAATCAACATATTTTTTAAAATAATTTCGACTCTACCAATTAAACTTTGAGTGAAAAGCATTTCGTTCATATCTGGTATACAAAAATGAACAATAAGACATTATTCGACCGTCCGATATCATTAATGATTTTATTTATTTTTATTACCTAAAGAAGCAAAGGTAAGAGAAGTACTTTACAGTTTACACAAGTAACAAATGAAGTGACCATTCCTTAATGAAATGAAATAATAATAATAATAATAATAATAATTAAGTCACCTAAATTTAATAATATTTTCTGATATTTGCAATTAGGCCCCTTCTTTCACTTATCAAAATCCCCCCACACACCATCAGTCTCAACACACAGTCACACACACACACACTGCTTTCTTCCCTTCTCTCTACCGTTGATTTGCTTCTTTTTCCCCACAGAAATCAAACCAAAAATCCCAAATTAAATTTGTGTGCTTCAATTTTATAAATGATGGAGTATTTTATGGGGGATTATGCGGAATTTTCTTCAGTGGATGATTTTAATCTCAACAGTAATAGTAATGGTGCTAATTTCACTGTGGATGATTTGCTGGATTTTTCCAAGGAGGATGTGGCGATGACCGACGCATTTTTCGACAGCTTGGCTGGAAATTCGGGTGACTCCTCCGCTGTCACCGCCGTCGACAGCTGTAATTCGTCGGTTTCTGGCGGTGGCGATGGCCAATTAAATGGCAATGTTAGCTGCCGCAGCTTCCCCGACTCTCAATTTTCCGGCCATGAACTCTGCGTTCCGGTGAGTTTGGTCCTCAATTGTAAAATTCGTTATTCATTATCGAAATAATTTTAAATTTTCGTCTCATAATTTTATGCATGAAACGCCTCGATATGTGTGCCTCTGCCTTTTCTTTTTCCTCGCCGACACTATAGCACTGACTGTTCTTCTGTAACAGAAAGTGATTCCCAAAAATAAAAGGGAATAAGTCAATTTCTGTTAAATAAGCTTTTGTCAAATTTACGCATTCAATTCATTTTTTGAATATGAATTATCGAATTTTACCGCTGAAATTAACTTTTTGCATGTGCATTTAGCATGAAATCAAATTTCAGAAAAATGAATTGATTTTTTATGAACTTTATGCTGATTTTTCTGAATATTTTTGGTGAACAGTACGATGATTTAGCGGAGCTGGAATGGCTTTCAAATTTTGTGGAGGAATCATTCTCAAGCGACGATGTACACAACCTTCACTTCATCCCCACCAACACCACCGCCGAAATCACCGCCGCCTCCTCATCCTCCTCTGCCACCAAAAGTTCAGTCTCTCCAATCAACAATTCGCCGCCGCCGCCGCCGCCTATTTTCCATTCCGATGTTTCCGTCCCAGGCAAAGCCCGCAGCAAGCGCTCACGCGCTGCCCCATGTGACTGGTCCTCCCGCCTCCTCCTCTCTTCGCCGCCGTCCTCCATCTCCAACAATCACTACAATAATGTCACCATCAACTCAAACACCAACCACGAGCCCATGAAAACGACTCCGTCTAAGAATAGGGAACCAGCTGAAACCCCAGGCCGGATATGTCTGCATTGCGCCTCAGAGAAAACTCCGCAGTGGAGAACCGGCCCAATGGGCCCAAAAACTTTATGCAACGCTTGTGGGGTCCGCTATAAGTCGGGTCGGCTAGTACCCGAATACCGACCCGCCGCTAGCCCGACTTTCGTATCCAACAAGCATTCAAATTCCCACCGGAAAGTGGTGGAGCTCCGGCGGCAAAAGGAGTTGCAGATGCAGCACCACCAGCAGCAGTTGCTTAGTCAAACGTCAATTTTCAACATAAACGGCAGCGATGATTTTCTCATTCATCGTCACAATAGTGCTGACGGTCCTGATTTCAAGCACGCAATCTAGCGTACCGGACACTAATTTTAGGGTTTTAAAGTAACCAGTCATAACCCCCATTTTTCTAATTCACTACTACGTTTTAGAAATTTGAATTTTGAAGGAGGAAGAAGAAATTTCCATAGAGAAGATGGAGGGAGAAAATGGTCAATTCAATTTTAGAAGTTGTAAGCTTTTACGATTTTCTACTTTTTGTTACTATTAATTAATTCAATAGATTTGTTTTATTTACTTTTGGTAAAATTATGCAGTTTTTAGTAAACTCAGCTTTTGGTGCAAAAAGTGAATGGCATATAATTTTCTTTTCTTCTTGAAAAGTAAAGATGATGAAAATTTGTTGGGGTGTCATATCTTGAAATCTTGGGAATAGAAAAATTAAGCAAAATCATACAATTTAACTTTACATTTCAAAAATAAGATATTAATATATTATCTAGGTGTTAACATAAATCAGGTGTTAATATAAATTTATTTAGGATTAATATATTATCTTATTAATAATTACCTAAAAATCAAATCAAATCTTTTTATATAAAATATCATTACCACCTCACCCATCCCCAAAGTAAATAGGATTGTTAATTTTAATTATTTTATTATAAAAAATGTAAAGTTACCATTTTAAAAATTATTGTTAAGATCAATTATTTGGTCAACTAATAGTCAAATTAACAGAAACCATTCATTTGAACTTCAGCTGCGACATTTTGAAATGTTTAGTATCATGGGTTGCACAAATGAAAGATTTGAACAAAATTTGTTACTAAATGAAAAGTTTTAACCTATGAAAAATGTGTAATTTGCGATAAAATTTAAAAATGTGATTGATAAATTGTATTTTTATGATTGTGACCTTACATGGTCTGTGACTAGCATGTGATTATAGTTATTGGTTGTTACGTACATGTAGATGAATATTTTCACCTGTTTAATAATGTGGATGATGATTGTTACGTTAATGTAGATGAAAGACTGTTTTTTATAATTGTTATTTAATATAGTTTAATTTTTTGTTAGATAAAAATTGTAACAAATCATACCTAGACAACATGTCACATTCAACACGTTAATGGTCACAATAGGTCATCATTAACTTAGATTTGGTAATAGAGAGTCGCAGTTTAACATATAAATTATCACAAACTTTTAAATGTAAACATGTTTTGTCATAAACATTGATTGTTAACAGATGTCCGGTTACACATGTCGTTGCTAACATACATGATCGTACACAATCATAGTTAAGACAAACATTATCACAAATAGTCACAATGAAGATAAACTTGATCACAGATGGTCACAGATAATACATGTTTGGTCATAAACAATACTAGCTTATATAGACATGGTCACAAACAATAATAGTTTATACATATATGGTTACAAACAAATACAAAATACACAATTAATAGATCACAAATTATTTATTGATCGTAAATGACTCATTTTATTGATCACAATTACACAATAATTGATTACGATTGCTCTTATTCCACCAGCACTCCACTACTATCACCACCCAAAAGCCTCTCCTTGTTGCCTTTCCTACATTTGATTGTCGATCAATCGCTCCCTGTCGCCATAGTCCCAATGAAAAATTTAAGACATAGGAGTTATTTTACAAATATAATGAAAAAACTAATATATAGTTAAATTTATATTTCATTGTGAATAAATACTAAAAAGATGAAAAAACGGAGTGGGATTGAAATTCATCCTCTACCAAACCCAAACAGAAAGAGCACTAAAAGTAGTCAAAAATTTAACAAAAATGCAAATGGGTTAAAAAAGAAAAAGTAAAAGAAAATTATGACAAATCAACTTGTGTTGGGTTTGGGGAAGGGGAAGGAGGAGGAGGAGGACGAGGGTCACAAATCAAAGATTTTTGGGAAGAATTGCAGTGATTATGAGAGAATTTTGAAAATTAGGGATTCTAGAGAAAGAAATATATCGTTTGATTGTAGGAGGAGAGATATAAATGGTCGAATTCCATTTTTTGGATCTAGTTTTAATTATATTTTATCCAAAAATAGACTATATTATCTATATATCTTTACATATTATTATATTTTATTTACCACCTGATTTTTGAAACAAATTTTTAAGATTATTAGTTATGAAATTTTATTCTTATGATAATTTTATATTTTTCCCTTGAAATATGCACATGGTCTGGACCCAAACCATGGCCCTTAATTCAATTGTGAATTTTTGGGATTTTTCCTCCTTTATTAGTTTATTATCTCTAAGCATGATATCGCTTTGTCTCAAAGTATTAACATTTACCTTTTTCCACTTTTATTGATCGTAAATATAAATAAATTTTTATCTATAAAGAAATTTCTTTTTGAAAGTTGTAGCTCAAATTATTATACTCACTCCGATCCATTTAGATATGTTTTTTTTTTTCACACGGATTAATAAATCTTATTTAATGTTATTGGAAAAACAATTTTTGCCAAAAATTTTCCTAATTTACCCTTATTATTATTGAAAGTAGTAAAGAAATAAGGGTATATTAATAAACAAAAAATAATTTTTTTAAATAAAGAAACAAGACTATATAATTGAGACAAAAAAATAAGAAAAGTGAGCCTATATAAATGAGACAGAAGAAAGTACTCAGTAAAAAATGAACCATCTAATCGAGCGCGCCCTATTTGGATTAGTAGATAAATAGTAAATGAAAATTTCCATTTGGGTTATTTGTGTACATAATTTATTTGTTTATTTTTTTTAATATTTTGAGATTTTAAGGAGAGGGGAAATTAGCATGTGGTGTGTCCCAAATGTAGGGGGCAATATTTTTGTTGCTCACACTGGTTAAAACAAAGGATTAAATTCAGGGATTAGTGGACCACGTTGAACTAATCATCATTATAATTAACTAATTATAAAAAATAAACGTCCAGCATGGATTTCAGTGAGTAATTGACCTAATTAATTTGGGAGATTTGTAGAGTAAAGGAGAATTTGAGAACATCGTATGGTGTACGAAGTACAGTTGCGTGGAAGTGCGGTTAGGAACAGAGGTGGGAAAGTTTCAACTTTCAAGAAGATTTGTTTAGTCATTCATTTAAAAAAGAGAGAAAAAAAAAAAAAGAAAGTCAAATCGTTCGGTTTATTAAGTTGGATTAAAAAAAATCTAATTACATTCACACGACAAAATTTATTTCTTATACCACATTTTAATTTCGGTTAAAGTTCTGAATTTTTACTCATTATAGTACTTATATTCCTAACGATTTTTCGTATCATTCATATCATCAAACTTTCTCTTAGTTAACACATTTTGTATTTGATAACAGTTTTATATCAAATAGTCCATTTAAATGACGTAAAACAACTTATTTTCATCATTTTTGAAAAAAAAATTGCGAAAAAATATTTTTTTCCTCATTTGAAAGTATCAAAATAAAATATTTTAAATGAGAAAAAATATTTTGATATAAATCATCATCAAGGTTGAGAAAAACTAATTAATGGAATGTTAAAAATATGAATTCGAAAAAAAAAAAAA